TTTCATTATGTGTTTTGCGAGTTGAGAGAATTGTTTTTGTATTTTTTTTATATATATATTTTTATAATTAATTGTCATTTAAGTGCTGCCTCTGTAAAACGTATTAATACACTATGGCAGGATTTTTTTCTGTTGCTTTTAACTGATGCTGATTTTGAGAATATAACGAGAATAATGGGAATAACAAAATAATTGGATGAATAAGAAAAAGTCTGGATGCATTACAATAGTAAGATTTTTTTGTGGAAATGTGCTCGTCATGAAAATAATGCAAAACAGGCTTGATTTTTAAATGACAAAACTGTGACCAAGACCTGTTTTTGTCAAACCGATCCTTTAAAAGTTCATGTTTATGATCAAATATAACAAAATAACTGTCATTTATAATTAAATTTATACTTGATGGTCAACTTTTTCATACTTGATGGTCAACGCATGTTTGTTGGTTTTTTGTTCTTTGAATATAATAAGCACTTTAGGTGCAGAAAATATGTCAAATAAGTTGAACAGGTCTTGAAGTGTGACTTGCCTCTGCAAGCTTGATTTTAGTCCAGAAACAAAATAAGGCTTTGCTGCCATCCAGTGCTATTTCACATGAATGCCATTTCTATTGAGAGCCACTGTGACATCACTAACCTCAGTTCTCTTCACCTTTACTCTGTGCTCTGTGAATTATTGAAACTAAAGAAGGCATGGTTTTCAGACGCATCTTAATAACTGCAGGCACATGAAAAGATGTGATGTTTGTTCACAAATCTGAATTCTTATATGTAGTTTGTAAATTAAAGTGGTTATACACAAGTGATACAATTTTCTCTCAAGAATTGCTAGTAAATATCACATAGAAACAGCATGCATTGAATTAAACTAGAATTTTTAAGGAGAAAGACTGAAATAGAATTTTCTTGTAAAACATACTCCAATAATCTTTGTTTCACTTGCAACTCTAAAAAATCATGTTTGCCATTTTCCTTCATAAAAACTGCTACATGATTACAAGCAGTGATGAAGAGTTTAGATATAACTTTGATTTCAGTCGATATTTGATCATGTTGAGATGAACAGCATATTCCCCTCCTTCGGTCACTTCAAACGACAAAAGCTTTGTTAATTAATAATCTACAATGTTTGTTTTCAAGCATCTTTAGCCAAAATTTAAATTGATATTGAATTTAAATTTTTTTTTTTTTTTTATGAATAGATTTGATTGTTTTACCCTTGCTCCAAAGTCAATCTTATTCATTCAATCTTATGAATTCAACTATGACAACACATCATATATATATATATATATGATGGATAAAAATGTAAGACATTTGATATGTGAGGCAAATAAAGTTAAATAAAGGTAAATCATAATCTTTTATTTATTAATTTTCTTTGAATGAATGAATGAATGAATGAATGAAGTGCGATACATTGCTAACTATGAAACTATTCCAAAAATGTTTAAAGTGTATACACACACACAGTTTAAAAAATAAATCTACTGGTAATTTTCTGCCAGAAGATTTTCCATTAATTTTACAGACATTTCCGTTAAGTGCAGAATTAAAAATACTGGTAAAAAAAACAAAAAACAAACAAAAAAATTTATAATTCCTTATAGTGTTAATATTGTGCCCTGATTTTTACATTTATTTTTTATTTTTTTACTTTTTTTGTGTGTGTGTGTGTTTACGTGTATTAAAATTTTTACATATTGCTACTGCCTCTGAGTATTCAGATTTCTCCTTATATATTTTTGCCATAATTATTCCTTTCAAGGTCTATTCTAAGACTTGAGTATTGCAAGACAAGAACTCACATGCGCGTGTAATATTTTGGTAAATCAGGTTAGGGGGCGCTCTATCTCTCAATCTCTGAATCCCATCAGCGGATTGATGTGCAGGGAAGCGAAAGATCCTCTAGGTGGCGCCAGAGATCTCCAGATCCTTCACCCCAAACTGAAATATCCACATCAAAAGATCTAGAATATGCACCTTATATTCAGGTGTAAGATCATGTGAGTTTCCATTAGAGAATCTAATGCTCACAGTCACCTACGAATGTAGAAAAGTTAATAACAATAATTCTTCCACGCTTTTGTTTTAAAAGATGAAATTGGCTCGTTATCTCAGAATGATCCTGCAGTGAGGTCTGATGTTATGAATATAGTTGATATAGAGGATATGATGTAGGCTAGTCATGAGGCCAGAGAGAGGATTTTGTCCCTGCAGTGAATTTTAGCGGTGCTCTGCTGAGGCGTCTCTACATTTGCACAAATACATGATACATGCATCACTGTAGTTTTGAAGTTAAGTTGATGATTTATGAAGACAAACTAGGAAATATATCCCCAAGGTATAGCACTGTGTGTTCTTGAAGCCTCTTCTCAGCTCTCTCGAGCAGTAAATAACCTTTGTGGGAGTTTCCGTTGACAGACAAAATGAGTTCAGATTAGATTAAAGATTGGGGGAAAAAAACTGGGACAGGAAGAAATCACCGCAAACTTGTGTGTGTCATATTATTAGGCTGTGGGCCAGTCTGTGCTGATTGTGGGATCAGGTGTATAGGAAAAACCTGAACATTTTGTGCAGTATTCAAAATTATTCATGGCATATTGATCAGAATGGCTGACTTTGTGCTCTACAGCGCCATGTAGAAACACAACAACTGTTCTGATGCCTCAATGGGAGAGTTTTAGTTTGGGAGTTACAATCAGTGTTGAGAATGTAACAGGTTACAGATTACAAGTTACCCTATTTAAAAGTTTTAAAAAATGTATTAAAGTAATGTAACTGATTACATTTGATTACTTTTCTAAAATTTTAACTGTTAATCATTTTGAAACATTTCGAAATCCTTCATCACTTGAATTAAGATTATAATCATGTAATTTTAAAGCACAGCCACCACAAAACCAGACTTTAGCACCTCTTTTTACTTTGAGATCGTTCTGAGGTTAAATACAGATTTAAAATCATACCGTTTTGGATATAGCTAGGAAACACTGGTGCTTTGGGGAAAAAAAACTGTTAATCTTAAAAAAATAAAGCATACACATAAACCCCAACTGGAATTAAAATAGTTATTGAATAAGCATGTGTCCTGTTCGGTGTCCTGAACTCCTGAAACATTAGTGTCTCATATTTTAGCGCAGTCAATACAATTTGTATTGTAAGTAACTGTAATTTAATTACACTTTTTTTCTCAGTAACTGTAACAGATTACAGTTACATTTATTTTGTAATTAAATGAGGCAATTCTGTTACATGTTACTAGTTACTCCCCAACACTGGTTATAATGACAAATGATGTCCAAGATAATGAAGATCCAGTAGGTAAAACATTATTGCTTGAATATACATAAAAAAAACATATTATAATTTATACAAAGAGGTGGAATCATAAAGTGAACCATTACACTCTACATGTGAGTGAACATCGTAATCATTATTTTTAAATATCATGAATGAATATTTTGAATGAATGCATGTTTATCTGTACACTCTAAAAAATGCTGGGTTAAATATAACCCAGCGCTGGGTTATATTTAACCCAGCATTTTTTAGAGTGTACCGTGTGACAACCTGAACTAACATTGCCATGTCATACATCGAAATAAATGATACAGTCGTGAGTGTCAGCATTCTGCTTTTTAATTCTTCATAGCAATCTCTAGAGCACTGGCACTGTAAGCTCCACAATGTGGTAAGTGAATTTCAATGCTTAAAAGAAAACATGTTTACCATAGAAAATGTATTTTTGAATCTGGAGCAAACTGAACTGAGTCATGTTGTGAAGACAGGTGTTGTTCTCCTCATCTGTCGCTCTCTCCCTACTGGGAAACTTTTTAATGACGTAATAATGACATTTCAATAAGGGAATGCTTCAAGGGCATAGATGGAAACTTATAGCTTTCCAAAAAGAAAAGAAAGAAAAAATCCCTCTATGTTCAAGTCATTTGTGTAAAATCTACAAAACCCACCTCTGTGTAAAGTCAAACTGACATTATATTACAAAAATTCAATCATTTGGAAGTGTGCATCTTCGTTTGCTGTCCTTATTCCTCGACAAACCGTGACAGTATCTGTGTGTGTATATATATATATATATATATATATATATATGAACAGATTTCAACATAAATCATTTCAGTTTAACTGATATGACAGGCTTAAAAAGTCAAAAGTTTTAAAAAGCCCCAGTTGGCAGTAGACAGCTGTGTAATTTCTTTAAATCAAGAGACTACTGTCAATGCAAATGATTGCTCTAATGGAAAAACCTTTATTCTTCAGTTTCCTCAGATTCACCTCCCGTGGAGGGATTTCAGTACTTCAAAACTTTTCTCATTGAGACACATCATGTGCAATTTACACAAACGTATGTTTAGTTCCCTTTAATGTCGGCTTGAGCCAGATAGTGTGAACAGCTTTTCTTCCCTATTGTAACATATAGTGAAAAGCTCCTCGGATGTTGTTAAATGTGAGTGACAGGCTGCTGGATGGAAAACTGTCTGGCCATTGGACAAGCATATTGTCCCGCCCTCGCGCCTGTGCACATGTCTTTAGAGAACATTTTTTATTTGATTTGATTTAAAAGAAATTGGTGACTGGAGTTTATGCATGCCTGGATGTGTATGGAGGTACTGCAGGGTGTCAGTGAACAGAAAACTCATCAAACGTTCTTTAAAAATATGAAAATATATTGTTAATTTCAAAATGTGTTTAATATGTTCTAAAGCTTCTATGGTTCATTTATGGCTGAAAAATAATATTTTATCACCTATAGTTGATATGGATGCTATAGAGTGTATTGCTTTAATTAAACGAATATAAATATCTGTCAAACAATAAAGCTGCACAATGAATTCAGGGAATGTCAAAAGATGGAAAGGTACAGAGAAAGTAGGTCAGTGCTAGTTTAACATAATGTAAAAATGTTTGTTCAGGTTAATATTAAAAGACATTTTCCAGCGTTACCAAGAATTTCTGAGTGGAAAGAATACAAAAGATTGAACGACCCTCGTAAGAAATGAAATCTTAGTCACTCTTTCTTGCACTATTGCTGATGGGAACTTCTGATCAACTTCTCTTGAATGCTGAGCTGAATCTTGAGTTGTAAACTTTACTCCCACATCGTTATCATCAATCATGTGCTCATATGTTTCTGCCCAGTGTCATTCTACTCATAAAGTGTCAATCTGATGCTGATGTTTATTATATGTTAATATGGTAATTACAACAAAAATCCAGTAACGTATTTCTCCTTTTCTCCTTGCTGTTTTAGCAAATACACACAGTTTGATGTGACAAAACATAGAGAATATATGCTAGGTTCAGCCTTGTTACCAAGATTTTGTATAGTAGGCTAAACTATTGAAAGCCCTGCTGAAGAAAACAATAGAAACCATCACAGAATTTGTAATGGCTTTACTGGTTATAATAGGACTTGTATTGGTTTTAAAGGAAACTGCAATGGTCCATGTGAGTCTCTACTGGTAATCAGTCCACTAAAACCACTCAATCCTAATGGAATATGTCCCAAAACACACTACAGGAAACCCTTTCTAATAGTTTTAATGGTTAAAAGTTGATGGTTTGTAACGTGTGTGATGGTATTTGCAGTGGAGACCATTCGAATTTCTGTGATGGTTTTTGTTTTTTTCAGCAGGGAGCATTCAATTATCTTTCTAAGAACCTTAGTTTCAGCTTGTACCATCAAATTAAACAGTCAGCTTTGTTAGTAAACCCTGTTTCCTCTCTGAGGCATGACACACATGAAACTGTATTCATTTAATGACCTTACACTGAAAAAGTCAAGTAGAGAGGCCCTTGTGTAACACTGCTAGCCCACTGACTAAGACTGCTGCGTTTCGTGTAATGCACATTCATTCTTTACATCCATCAAATTGAACTAAAACACACTCGCACAGGCTGGGACTTCCACCGTTGTGTTTCCATATCTCACCTAACTACCAGTACTATGGGTGTGGCAAAACAAGCGTCGAGCTTTACGTCATCAAGCCCGACGTAACGACGTAACGTAACAACGCCACCGTTCGCCCCCTAGCGGATAAGCCGAAGATAACGCTTATAATGGGCTGTGAACGTGGAAAGTACCTTACGGAAATCCCCACTGGCTTTTATGTACTGCTTTCAATCGGGCTGTCTGAACTAGAGTAAAGACTTGGCCGTGTTTTGGACGCGTCTCGTGCGAGCAGTGAAATCCAGTGGATCTCTATAAGAGCGCCATGGACGATTAAAGTGGACTGAGTGAAGTAGCAGCAGAGCCAGAGCATCGTATGGGCTTTGTTGGTGGATACCGACATATCGAACAGGTAAGAGTTGTGCGATTCATCGCCGCCTGTTCCCTCGACTCTCTGATATCGTGTCCAGACTGAATCCTAAACCGAGCGGGGCTGATTTCTCCCGTGTCGTCTCTCGTTTAAACGGCTGTCTGTCTGTGTCGTACAGACGGAAACGGTCTTGAACGCCGCGGATTTGACAGCCATTGTTTGCGAAGACGTCACTTATCGGCGATTTGAAACATTAAACGGAGAAAACGTTCTATTGTTGCCATGGGGACACATCGCTTCCTTTCCAGTGTTACAGTGTTGCATTGTCTAAGGGCTTCTGTCAAGTCAATTACGTAATTCGAGCGTCAGCAACTGATGTTACAATATTTTTTTCGCGTCGGTCTCTATTGTCCCCGTTGTGCTTTGCGTTTAATAAAACTGTGGACTCCGCTTTGTCGCTTTCCGCACGGCGTTAACGCTGCGAACGTTTCGCTCAAGAGGTATTTAAGGGAACGCTGTCGCTTTGGCGTTCAGAATAAGTTGTCCCTAAAGAACCTCGGCAGCTGAGACAAATAAATGGTGCCCTTGCAGTCAATGGATTTTCAACGCCGCTAGGTTCCCGTCAGCGTGTCTGAGCCCATCTTTAGGCCATTCTGATAGAGTTTTGGAAATTTCATTGTGGGGGTGGACTAATAAAGAGCTTCGCCTTTCACTCATCTGACCTCAAGAGCCTTTTACCATGAGTCTGGAATACACCATCAGCTTTCAGGGGCCACGATCTGTCTTTCAGTTCTTCACCTTTAGGGTGGAGGGGAAATTCTTCTTTGTAGCACATGGTCGTGGGTTGAGCGCCTCTGACAATGGTGTGTTTGTCTCAGGTCTTCTTTCGCAGAAATAGATTGGTTCCCCACTCCAGACTGCCATGTCTCAGGGCCAGAACTTCCTGCCCAAGTTCCTGTTTGTGAGTAACCTCCTGAAGGCCGTGAAAATCAGAGAGCGGGTGCCCAACGATGTGGTCAAGCCCTCGGCCAGCGGCGGCCTGATCCATCACCTGCGCAGCATGCACCGCTACACGCTGGAGATGATCCGCATGAGCCAGTTCCCGCAGGCCTTCCGCGAGGTCATCCAGGCGGCCATCTTGGACCGGGCCATGCAGAGCTCATTGGAGCAGGAGAAGAGGTTGAACTGGTGCCGCGAGGTCAAGAAGCTGGTGCCGCTGAGGACCAACGGTAACTATGCTGTGATTTTATCAGCTAGAAGTAGCGGCTCTGTGTGTGTTGCGTATCCTTCGAATGAAGTGTTTTCTTCTCAAACGCTGACATTAGAAACACTTGGATTCTTTCTCCCGTGATGATCTTTTAAACCAGGGCTGCCCAAACTCTGTCCTGGAGGGCCGGTGTCCTGCAGAGTTTAGCTCCAACTTGCCTCAACACACCTGCCTTTAAGTTTCTAGTATGCCTAGTAAGAGCTTGATTAGCTGCTTCAGGTGTGTTTAATTGGGGTTGGAGCTAAACTCTTCAGGACACCGGCCCTCCAGGACCGAGTTTGGGCAGCAGTGTTTTAAACCATTTGTGTCTATTTATGGTAATGATGCATTATTGGTCTGATACACTAATTCTTCTAATGAAATGGTCCGTAATAAGGCTGTTAGTTATATATATATATATATATCGGCCAATAGGGCTGCACGATTATATGACAAAAGTCATAATTGTCGATTATTCCATTGAAATTGTAATCACGTTTATTAACTACGATTCTCACAATTTACATTGAATGACATTTATACCATTGTTTGAAGCAACTGCATGCCATAGATTTATGTGAAAATAAACAAGCTGAAAACACTCTAACTGAAAAACTTTTATAGCTTTTCTATAGTATTAAGCCTCAAATGTCAACTATACATTGGATTGGTTTCTTCTTTAAATAAAAAAAAAGTAAAAATATGCATGGTATTATAATGTTATACTAAAACTAAACTTAAAACGATAGAAAAAAAACTTAACCTATAGAAAGGGGAGAAAAAAACATCTTAAGCATGCATAATAACAATAACATGGACTTTGAACAATTAATTGCCACTTTGAATAATTCCGTGCTTGTGGCATTTTTTTTTTGCCTGATAACCTCTCTCATTGTATAAAATAAGTATTCAGTTCATGATAGCTCTTATGTACATCTCATCTGGTATCTTTATCGTACTCTGCAGCTATTAAAAAAGCCATACCGGTTGACCACTTAAAAAAATTATACGTGCTTTTTTGAAATGCTTGGCACATTAGGGGGCTTCACGGCAGACGGGAAAATCCTGCCCTGTCTGTCACACTGATGTTCTTCCCCCTTAATTCTCCAGCACAATTTGATTTAAGGGGCCGTGGCGTGATGCAGGGCTCACAGTGAGCGCTTTATGACTCTGATGTTTCTCCTGCTCCCTCAGGGTCAGGACGCACTGCTCTTCTCTTATGAGTAATGCTGCGAGGGAAACTTCTCTGTACTTGCCATTGTTGCTCCATTGTACAGTCACTAGTTACTGTAACTGAAATTAGGTAAATGCAGATTACACGTATCTTTTTTTTCTCATTACCTTAACATTTGTCCGAAATCGTCCGCAAGCTAGCGCTGTTAGTGTGTAAGTGTCACTATTTTTTATACAATATAATGGGTCATTTTATCATGTCTAGTTCCTGGTAGTGGATAGTGTCTCGTTCTTGTATTCTGGTAATTTGTTTGTTTTTCTGGACAGCACGGATTTTTCCTCATAATGAAACAGGAATTTCCTGTTTTAAGTCACATGGGATTATGAAAGCGTCAGACTGGAACATGCTGTTTAAAACAGATCGCATTGATATGACCCGTAACTGAATATAGAGGGGAACTGGAATAAATGTAACCCTCAATAAATGTAATACCCGAGAAAACGCATCTTTGCATGATGAGAGATTTTAGGCTGGTGTTGTATTTTACCGATGTTATGCATTTATAAAGTGTCTCTTTAATCAGCCAGTGCGATCAATAATCTGACGTCACTAGTAAAGCGGAGGATATGTCTAAATGTGGATGTGTTTTGTACATTTACATTTATGCAGTTGGCGGACAATTTTTCGTTCATGCATTCCCTGGGAATCGAACCCATGATCATTGCTCGTGGCATTGGTCTACTGTTTGCTCTACAGGAATACATTGTTTTGATTACCATTAGTGTGTATTCAGCATATATTTCTTCACTATTTAGTGTTTATTTACTATTACAATTATACTCTATTACAGTTTCACAACATATGAGTTATGATTGGACTAATTGACATTGATAATGACTGCTAACAAGACAAAGATGTCTAAAGCCAAATTCCAAAGCTTTTAGGTCAAATAGTTTCTGTGTAAATTAGCTTAAAATAAAAACAAGTGTTAAAATTGCTCTGTTTCAGCTTGGGCCTCTATAGTGCATCTGATCATATAACAGTGAAGTAAGAGAAGTGGACAATGTTACCATATCTACACAATGCTTATTCATTTTCTTGAGGCCACATTTTGCTCCTGTGACCAGTGTTGCTGAATTTGGTGACAAGGATGTGGTTGTATAGCAGATGTAGTTTGTGTCCACAGTTTATATGTTCATTTTCTGTTCTTTTTTTTGTGTTGGGGAAGCTACTTTGAAACTGTAACTTTCCAAATGACAAGTTTTCTCATAATTTACGGTAAAGTATTTAAATACAGTCAAGCTACCTCTATGAAAAAGATTCTACAATGCTAACTATTTACAAAACGTAGCTTACTACTTTGAAGGTGTTTAAAGCGGGAAATATTGTTAAAAATATTTAACTCAAATAAATCAAACTTGAATTTGAGTTACATATGCAATGTTTCAATGCAGAAACACTGAATTTAATAAAAGAAAAAGTTAAATGGTGTGTAGAGGCTTAATGCGCAAGGACTCAACAGATTGGCGAATCTTAAAGGGGTCATATGATGCGATTTCAAGTTTTCCTTGAGGGGGCTTTGTAGAAAACGACGTGTTTGAGAGAGGCGGGGCATAGAGGACTTACAATAATGTACAGTATTTGAAAAATAATGTGTTTTTTGAACATTAAAGCATGTCAACATATTCTGTTACACCAAATACACAAAATAATGATCTTTAAAATAGCATCATATGACCCCTTTAAAAGACCAAATGAATTTTTTCTCTGACTTGACATTGCTACACATGTAAAACTGCGTTCTCAATCAATGCGACCCAAAACTGCAACTTGTTGGAAATTTGTTACTGGAAAAACTGCTTATTTTGAAAAGCGTTAAGGTAGTTATTGTTACAAGTACACTACTTTAAGAGTGCTTGGCCCTGTAATGTTATTAATTCCGTTTCAGATCTCTTCGTTTATGTCCATGAGAGTTTGATTTAGAGGTGTTGTGGAGTTTGTATTTTTTCCCCCTACGGTTTAAGGTTCATATGGAAACTTTCTCTTGTGTAACAAGAAACTAAACAACGCACTGTACAAATAGTTTCCATAAATAAAATGTATAGACCAGTTAAAACCTTCTTCTGCTTAGGAACATTTGGTTTTTGTGTTGGTAGTAGGTGCAGGCACAACCCTTGCTTTTAGACAATTACGCAGGTTTAAAGAACAGGAACTAGATCATATGTTCAGACTTCCCTTATCGACCCTAGAAATGGCACGGGCGCAGGCATTCCTGTAGAGCGTCGCCCCTCCTCTCTGGAAAGTCCAGATGCCTTATATCATGGCTCTGGTGTCAAGAGGAGACAAGGTAAAGAAAAAGTTGAAGTGAAGCCCTTACGGCGCTTAATCAGAGAATCACATACTAGGGAAATTCCTCACAGTTGTGCGCAGGCTGTTTCACACAAGCGCGCGCACACATGTTGCACAACATCAGAAAGAACACAGAATCTAGGCCATGAGCACAGCTCTGCAGTGCATGCTCTTTGAGTGTTCAAGTTTGCTTCACTTTGATCTACAGTTACAGGTTACAGTGAAGTTATTGATTTACAGAGAGTTTTGAGATTTTTTTCCCCCCCTTACATAGCCTGACATGTCCAAATTGCCTGGTGTGTAATGAGGAGTTGATTTCATTGTTTTTGCAGAGATACGGTCCCATGTCCTGTTTTAAAATGCATGCAGTCAGATGAAATGGATGGATATCTTTAAACTGCTTTAACACCTCTGTGGAAATCCCCTGTATTGCTTTTATCTCATTCTTAATCTTGCTTCTTGACAAATACGGCTGAACTAACCTTTAAGTATAAAGATATTGCTGTCAAGGTACGCAGCAATAATGCAAAGATTGTATATGTAGTTTTTCATTTTCTTAGTATTATTTTTTGTTGCTATGTTATGCACGTCAACAAGTTGCTAAGGCTCTCTCTGTTATGACAATCTAGATGATGTTTAAACAGGAACTGCAAGTTTCGTAGCCTTTTTGTGAATGCATAAATACCTCCTTCACAAACTTCTATGACCTGTTTTTTCAAAGCCAAATCTCGGGCACTTCCAAGGGAAATTTGTCTACATTATAATACATATGTAAGGAGATGGTAGGACAACTGATGTATAATGGCATATCTGCATGCTGCCATGTTGGCTCATGGGCAATCAGTTCCAGAAACGAAGTGAGGCCATTTGTGATTAATTACTCAGGGCCTGAGGAGAATAACGTCCTGATGGCACCACAAGAACTTGCACAGTCCCAAGCCCTTCACTGGCGACTGTCCTGAGCTGTGATCTGTGTTTTTGTGTCATTTAGGTGATGGGAACTGCCTGCTCCACGCAGCCTCTCAGTACCTGCTGGGGGTTCAGGACACAGACCTGGTGCTGCGAAAGGCTCTTTATGCAGTGCTGAAGGAAACAGACACTAGTAACTTTAGAATGCGCTTTCAGACAGAGTTGCTGCACTCTCAGGAGTTCACTCAGACTGGCCTGCGATACAGCACATTGGTAAGCACTTCCCCCTTCACAGTGTACATGTAAAACTGTCATTTTGTGGCATAAACAGCCTGATAAAGCCAGCTAACCCTAACCCTAACCACACTTGACACATTCAGTTTTCAATGTATTACCATTAGAGATTTTGCTGAACAAATGAAGGATTTCAGAATCTCATTACTCCTTATTGAACTTTTTTTTTTGGTATGACAAGGGTAAAACTCATGAATATTTGCAATGTTTTTTGTTTCTCAGAACTGGGAGGAGGAATGGGTGAAGATTGTAGAAATGGCTTCTCCAGTGTCCAGCAGTAATGGCCTACAGTTTGACTCATTAGAAGATATTCACATCTTTGTGCTTTCAAATATTCTGCGGAGACCAATTATTGTTATTGCAGGTATGTATCCGTATACAATTATGCTTCTATAAGAAGCATTTCAATAGAATTACACAAACACTTATTAATTGGAGCACTGACTGATTTGGACACATAAAGTGCATCAACATGACCATAATATATGACCAATTTTTTTCTCTCGCTGCCCAGCCCACGTTCCGCGCCCCCTACGGCCCCCAGTCTAAGCCTTTACAGTGAGACTCATGCCATGAAGTGCAAGACGCCCGGATGTTTGTTCACTCTTAGCGTGGAGCATGACGGGCTGTGCGAACGCTGCTTTACAGCGAGGCAAAACCGATCGACTGCTAATGGCCCGCCGCAAGGCCCCTCTCACGGCTGGTGGGCGTCAGGCAGCCGGGAGCGAGAGAAGGAAAGGGAGAGGGAAAGAGAACGGGAAAGGGACACCGAGAGGTGTGTTATGTGCCAACAGGAGGTCTTTAGGATATTTAACGGTCTTTGCCCACCCTGCATGCAGAGGACTGCCGTTTCCGAGAGGGGGGACACCCAGCAGCAGGAGCCTAGAACCGAGGCCTCAGTATGGGCAATGCATAGGGAGACGGAGCGCACTGGCACCGCCGGCCACACCTGGCAGACGCCCGCTGCCCGGCGCACTGACTGATTTGGACACATAAAGTGCATCAACATGACCATAATATATGACCAATTTTTTTCTCTCGACAGACCAAGTACTTAGAAGTATGAAGTCTGGTTCCTCCTTTTCACCCCTCAATGTCGGGGGCATATACCTGCCTTTGCATTGGCCTCCAGGAGAATGCTACAAATATCCCATAGTGCTCGGCTATGACTCCCAGCACTTTGCACCTCTGATTACAATCAAAGACAGCGGCCCAGGTATGCCACCAGACATCGCACTACTCCATAATGTGTTCTTACTACTTGGCCCAGTGTATTTAAATATTTGATGTTTGTGACCCATTCAGAGATCCGTGCTGTGCCATTGATAAACCCTGGACGGGGTGGGTTTGAAGATCTTCAAGTGCACTTTCTGACAGAAAAGGAGCAGCAACAGAAGGAGAAGTTGCTAAAAGACTACCTAATGCTTATAGAAATCCCTGTCATTGGCCTGAGCTACGATCCCACACAGATTATCACTGCAGCCAGGTATGAGCTAAACGCACTCTTTGGTGAAGTCTTGCTGGTTAAGCGGCCAGATCCAAGCAACCCAGGTTGCTTCAGTGCAGTTGTTTCTGGAATTGTTGTACTAATTGGTACTTTTGATAAAACATCTGATAAATATATAGGCATTTCCTAAATGTAACCACAAAAAGTTGTGGGATCTTACAGTGTTCCTTTTCAAATCTTGCACCCTTCCTCCATCAGACTGGATGAAGGCAACCTACCTGAGGACATGAACCTAATGGAGGACTATCTACAACTGGTCAACCATGAATATAAGCGCTGGCAGGAGGATAAGGATTCTTTATGGGCCCCCCAATCCCAGCGTCCCCCTCCTTTCTCAGTCTCCCAACTCTCTCTCATTGAGATCCGCTGTGCCACACCCCGCTGTACATTCTACGTCTCGGTGGACACTCAACCCCACTGTCACGAGTGCTTTGAAAAGCGACAGGCGGGTTGCAAGCCGGAGGCCATTTCCACCACAAATCAAACCTCGTCCTCGGACCCCGAGAGCCGAGGGAGGCTGGAGCGCTCTCCGTTTCCGAGAGGGGGGACACCCAGCAGCAGGAGCCTAGAACCGAGGCCTCAGTATGGGCAATGCATAGGGAGACGGAGCGCACTGGCACCGCCGGCCACACCTGGCAGACGCCCGCTGCCCGGCAGTGTAAACGCTCCGGCTGCCAATTCTTTGGAACTGCAGAGAAGCTGGGATTCTGCACTATATGTTATCTAGACTACCAGACCAATCACCGTAAGTGCAGCTGTTTTGCATTCACTCAATTCTTCTTGTAACTCTCAATAAATATATAGTTTAGTCATGAAACTCTAGATGGCGCAGGCTGATGGGTTGTTAACGTAACTGATGATATTCAGAGAGTTAAACGACTTGGCACAAGCTGATTGGTTCATGCTGCATATGCAGCCAATGAGCTTACTGCCTTGCATTTATATGGCTGGCTAGCATTCACTAGGGATTCCTGCAGCGCGCTTTAAGTTTCTCTGAAACCCTCCACCTTCCCCAGCTCCACCTGTATAGATCTGCTATGGGTTATTTTATATGCTATTTGTGCAGCAGCAGTATGTCTTAAATACTCACGGCACCGTATCGCCGTATGCATTGGCAGTAGCAAGTTCCTGTACTTGCTTGCAGCAGCAGCAATAATCTACAACTGCAACAATAACCAACAGCAGCAGCAATTCAGCAGCAGCAATAATCTACAACTACAGGAATAACCAACTGCAGCAGCATAGGAGATCTATTCCGCCAAGACCAAATACATCAACATTATCATATCCATCACCATGCTAAAATCTTCATTGTCATGATTAAAATATAATTTCCACTGCATCAGTTGAAATATCTCCACTTCCGACTGCAGGGGTGTCCAAACTCGGTCCTAGAGGGCCAGTGTCTTGCAGAGTTTAGCTCCAACTTGCTTCAACACACCTGCCTGAAAGTTTCTAGTACGACCTTGATTAGTTGGTTCAGGTGTGTACAAAACTCTGCAGGACAGTGGCCCTCCAGGAGCAGGATTTGGCACGCCTGTCCTATTGGGTATCATGTCATAGACAACTCAAGCAGAGGAACAAGTGTGTGATTTTTGGCTGTTTTTGTTTGTGCAGTGGCCACCCCTGCTGTTGTCCAGCCCAGACACACATCCGAGGCGGGCTTTCAGAATTGTCCGCGGTGCCGGGGTCAGGGCTGTGGCGCCGAGGGAAAGGCCATGCTCGAGGGTTACTGCAACAAGTGCTTTGTGAAAGAACAGAGTGCTAGACTCAACCAAGCTGCTAGCAGGGACTCTCATTCCCCACCTCTCGTCACGGTAAGTGTCCTTACGTGCTGGTTTTGTTGCTGTGGGGTAGGTTTGGCTCTTCTGACGAGCTCTGTTGTTTCTGTCCAGCGGGCCTCGAAACCACGTCCACCTCCGATGCTCACCCAGGCACAGTGTCGGCGTAGCGGCTGTAAGAACCTGTCCCCTGGCTGCACGGACCTCTGCCCGGACTGCCTCAGCCGCGGCCAGCGAGAGGGTCGTCGTGCCCAGGCACCCAAAGAGAAAAGCAAACAGCGCTGCAAGACGCAGGGCTGCGACCACTACGCCAACCAAGACAAACAAGGCTACTGTAACGAATGTGACCACTTCAAGCAGATTTACCGGGGCTGACAGAACAGTTCGATGTTAAAAAGTGCCCAGTTCATCGCACGTTCACGTGCATGCTGGTGAACTCTCTTACACAAGGAACTTTTTGCCCAAAATCCCCCACCTACATTGGGCAGGGCCTAAAGAGCCCGGTGGTGATGTAGAATTGGTGATTACCTCTCAAATGCAGTTTTGGTCATTTGTATCATGTGTTTAGGCCTGTCGTGAGATGTTAGCATACAGAAACTAATGATACACAATGACGTCTAGTCACACACAACCGTGGCGTCCACTGTTTATATCGAACAGGGTAATTAATCGCAAACGTTTGTTGAAAAATTGAGGAGAGCATGTGTAAGAATGAACAATTTCAGATTAGCGACAAAATTGACAAGTTAATTTACCGAAAGATATGTCTAATCCGATGTACATCGCCACTGTGGACTGCAGAAAGCCTTTTGGAAGTACAGGAAGAAGACGTACAGGGTATGCAGAGACCACCGAAGGACAGCATTTGATAGTTTCTTCATAAAATGTAGGTTAAGTGCCAATGAGAGCTTGCTAAGCAGAGCTCGAATTTCATTTCCTGCTGCACCATTTGATGTCTGCAAGCAGTACGGATCTGTTGCCTTTGAGAATGTTTTTGTTTACCATTTTCACAAGTCCTTCTTGCTCTTGAAACTATTTTTCACTTTTGCTTGCCTTGCTAAACTTCATATGACTTGGTCTGTTCTATTGAATGGATATGTTCATTTTTCTGTGGCTAAAAATTCCTTAAGTGCAATGAAAACCAGATACTTGACACCTCCCCGATGTCTAGAGCAGATGAAATTAAATTAAGCTGAAGGGAATGGCCGTGCCAAAAAGAGAACGTCAAAAATTTTGACAAGAAAAAACGATGAGATGGCTGAAATCCCCGTCTGGATAAACAGCCAAGCGAAAACAAATCAATCTGAATGTAAACACGCCCAGGTAAGAAATGCCCGCCCCTAGATCTGCGAACTCCCCGTTCGCCGTTCTCGCCCAGCCACATTCTTTCGGTTGCACTACTCCCCTTTAAACACACAATGCCTGTCTATTCTTTGCATACATGTAGTATGCACAAACTGACATTCTCTATTTGAATATTTCTGCAATATCCGCACAGACATAATGAGAAGAGATAGAGTTAGCTCCTGTGGCATCATTTATAAAGGAATAACTGTCGGTGTTAAACATTCCCATCCTTAAAGTCCAATATTGTGCAAGCACATTTAGCTTCGTCTACTTGAGAATTAGATTCATGTGGGCCTATACACAAATGTGCTTCGGATAAATGATACACATGAGAAAAATCTGCAGTCGAATCAGAAATTCAAGAGTGTCTACTCTTCAACTACTGGATCTGTTCAGTCAGTTCAGATCATCACAAACTTGCACAATACTAAATAAGCTGCTCTGGAATTAGGAACAGTACTTCTGATTTACAGTACATAGTGACATTCCAGTTATAGACCTAGAGGAATATAGATGACAAGATAGAAATTTTGTGCAACCTTTCATATAGAGTATCGTATGAAAAGCCTTGTTTTTTGGTTTGTTTAGTATTTATTCACAGCAAATATTAACTGTAATGTGTTTCAAGAATTATTTATATGTGGTCCTGGAATAAATTATTTTTAATAGAAAAACATTAACACGTTTCCTGTGTCTGTTTACCTTGATTTGCTTTATTGCCGCTTGAAATACATGTTATAACAAGAAACACTCTAAGGTGCTTATAAAATAGTACTTAAGTATATTATGTATTAATAAACTAACAATGGTGTTGATATTGGTAGCAAAACAATGTCACCATGCCAATGGCTGCTACTGAACTAATTACGTAACTATGGTCGGGTGAATTCCAGACCAACCGCTAGAGACGCCACTATCTACTCACCACACCAGACAGAAAAAAGTCATATAATGGTATGGGCTTAGCTGTGAGGATCACTAGTCATACACACTTACCTGAAAAAGCAGTCAAGGCTGCTATAGAAAAACTGCAGAACTGACCTTGTGCATCCAGCCAAGGAGAATCCCAGGTGGCAGCAGTGCAGATAATGTCCAAGAAAATCCCCAGGTCAACAAAAAACAGACTAATAGAGTCACATGTGGGATCTCTACATAAGGGCAGCCATCAATACCCGAAATATCAAAGAATAGGATCAATCCTATGGTCCCTACACCATAAAGGGAAAGGTTTCCACAAGGAGGCACAAGCTTGCCGTGTGGAGATTTGTGTGAACAAGTTTACAATCCATTATAAAGGGGTTGGATCCAGGGTCCAAGCCCGAAGCTGCAGCTAAGTCTGGGTGATGAACACAACCACCCAAAACTGAAAGACAAGGTCGTTCCTAAGGGAAGCTGCCGTGGACTGCCTGCCAGGAGCTTCAGGAGTAGAGAGATCTGTGGTGCTACAAGGATCACCTTATGCTTACAAAGGAGGATTCTGTGTAATGTTTCCCACAACAGAGGCATCTTTGTGAGTACCTGCCACCTGATTGTATGAACCCAGAGGTACCACTCTCAAATAGTGCAACTGATGCCTCCTGAAGCTCAGTTGCAAGAACCTGAGGTGCCACCTTGATGGTTCAGGTAAAAAAACGGTCAAGGTTTTCTCAGATCTAACAAGCTCACGGTAGTCTTACCTTCACTGGCAAGAAATAGTTTAGCACTGGGTAAACCGCACGTAGCTCCAGCAGATTGATACAGTGGTGTGCACAGACCTCCAGAGGGGCAGGGGAGAAATCCCCCTCAGTCGAAATTGCGGTACGGGGCACCTCAATAGGACCAAAAGGGCAGTTTAGTTTTGGCGATTAAGGGCATGCTGCTGGATTGATACAGTAAGATCTAAAGACTATATCAGTGATACACCTTAGCAGGATTAATTATCAAATTGACTGCACTGACACCATTGGATTAGAACAAAACTTGAGCTGACTTAAAGGTATAGTTCACCCAAAAATGAAAATTCTGTCATTAATTACTCACCCTCATGTCGTTCCAAACCCGTAAGACCTTCGTTCATCTTCGGAACACAAATTAAGATATTTTTGATGAAATCCGAGAGCTCTCTGACCCTCAATAGACAGCAAAACAACTGAAATGTTCCCAGGCCCCGAAACATAGTAAGGACATCGGTAAAACAGTCCATGTGACATCAGTGGTTCAACTGTAATGTTACAAAGCTACGAGAATACTTTTTGTATGCAAAGACAACAAAAATAATGAGTTTATTCAACTGTCTTTATTGTTGCTGTCTATGCAGGGTCAGAGAGCTCTCGGATATCATCAAAATATCTTAATTTTTTATGGTTTGGAACGACATGAGGGTGAGTAATGACAGAATTGTCATTTTTGGGTGAACTATCCCTTTAAGCTGGATGAACACACTATCATCCTGAGCTGCTTCATAGCTGAATAAATAAAAAAGGTGATAGGTCATGGCCATCATTGGGGGTAAGCAGTGTTCCAGAAGGCACATCAACAGTGCACATTTTGGACATTTCCCTTATCTGACCCACCCAAATTTCCCACTCTACTTCATGTCTGGCAGTGTCCTTCAAACTAAACATGTTTGTTTCCTTTCGGACTGGACTCTCAGTGAAGATGCTGGAATACCCTGTGAAGTCCACTTCGCAGGAAACTTGCGGTCGAATGGAACGCCCCTCTGGTGTGCTTCCAGGAAGAGTGTTGGGAAATCTGCACCACTGGATAGAACCATAAAGTATAAATATCGTAACAGGCCTCTGCTATAATGAAGCAAATAATAAATCAATAAATCCAGTAGTCCTTAGCGCCGCCTCTGTAACATGTAACATTTTTTCCCAACCCATTTTAATGCCAAATGAGAATGATTTCAAAACTAATTCATGGCTGAAACAGTGTTGTTTGATAAAGCTGTTTTGAGTCTCCATTTTGTAGTTACTGCCAGGGGTGGTTTGTTCATTAGGGTGATAGGACGACGCACCACCAAAGTGAAAAGTGTTTTCTGTCACATTCAACCGTAACTGTCACCATTCTAGACCATTCTGTTTGTTCTGCCTCTGGATACATAGTCCAATCAGCATCTAGTCACGTTCTGTGGAGTGCCGCTCCTTTTTGGCAGAATCGCCCCGAGTGTGATCTACGACGTCGTTTTAGTGCCACGCTAAAAAAAATGTGAGATTAAAGTCATAATATTTTGAGAATAATGTCGAAATTACGAGAATAATATCGAAATGTTTCGAGAATAAAGTCAAAATGACGAGAATAAAGCCAAAGTGTTTCGAGAATAAAGTCGAAATATTTTGAGAATAAAGTCAAAATTACGAGAACATCTTACAACATATTTGTTGTATTTAAACTGACAGAATTTGAAAGCTGACACTTTTCTCAGCATTCAAATTCTCCCAGTGCTCCCAATCCGGCATGCACAATAGGCTATACTCAAAATATTATAACTTTAATTGCTACAATTTAATTCTCGTAATTTTGATTTTATTCTCGAAACATTTCGACTTTATTCTCGAAATATTTTGACTTTATTCTCAAAATATTTCGTCTTTATTCTTGTGATTTCGACTTTATTCTCATAATTTTTTTAATTATTTTTTTTATTTTTTAACATGACACTAAAACGCCGTTGAATTGCTCTTAGACTTCCATACAAAGATTTTTTTTTTGAACTGCAGGCACTGCAATACAATCTCTAGGCTGCTTCCGAAAGCTCTAAAATGCTGCCTTCGGAGGCAGGAAGGCATCAACGTCCGAATCCAAATTCTGCTTTACTTCCTGCCTCCGGAGGTACCTTCTTCTGATCGAATTTTGAAGGCAGCATAGATGTATCCTTCGCTGCCTTTGATATCCCACAATCCTGTGCGTTCCATTCCGTGATGTTTGAGCTAAAAAATAAAGACGGCGTCTGAAAGTTGCGTTTGGTGGTCAGTTTGTGTGTAAATGTATATTTCTGACTAACTTTTTGCACTTTTGATGTTATTTATAGCGAGAAATCAGTATTATAGTAATTAAATATTCGTTTAGTTATCACCAAAACTTGTTCTATTTTGTTGTAGATGCCTCAGAAGCCTGTCCGAAATCAGTTTTATGAGGTGCCTTCGTGCAAAAACGTTGCTGCAAAGTCATTGCCTCATACGGCAGCGAGGCAGCAAGTCAGCTGCCTAAGTTTGTTCCCCTCTATGAGTTGGTGGGAACATACCGCTATTAATAAGAAATATGAAGTCTAGGCTGTATGGGCTGAATAAAGCAAACCAGTATCTTACCAGCAAAGTTTAGATGAATGACGATTGGAAGTGACACACAGCAATCGTACAATATTAAACGTGCGAGTACGTTATTATTAATGTGCAAACAAACAGACCGTGTATGTGCGCTCTCTGATAGCTTTTTGCATGAGCACAATTCAGTACACTCTTAAAAATAAAGGTGCTTCACGATGCCATAGATTAGAAGAACCTTTTTATCTAAATGGTTCCATAAAGAACGCGATTTTAGTACCGGACTGCCTTTTTCGAGAACCAAATTAGCTCCTACTCCGGAGCAGGGTCTAACCAGCACAACTGGTACTTATCATGACGTAAGTAAACATTGATTGGCCAAACGCGTATGAAAACGACCTCACCCGCCATGATTTAAAACGCTGTGTAAACATACTGTAAACATTGTGTCAACTTATTTCGCAAGTATGGAGAACAGCGATAGATGGACGGACGCTGAAGTGCAGGCACTTGTAGCAAATGTAGCACTGCCAGTTGTCGTTGGAGATTCTTAGTCCTCCTTTCCGTTCTTTCAATCGCTTTACGTATACGTCAACTTTCCATGTCCATTATTGTGAAACCCGCGA